TTGATTCCAGGTCAGGGCACATGCTTGGGTTATAGTCTCGATCCCTAGTAGGGAGTGTGCAGGAGACAGCAGATCAGATTCTCTTTCATTATTTATGTTTCTTTCTCCCTTTTCCTTCCTCTCTGAAATCAATAAAAATATATTTTAAAAAAAGATAGAATCTGAATATTGTGCAGATGTTGGCAGCAATGGCCAAAATAAGATAGCTAGGTAAGAGCATTAGATTTAGATCTTTCCAAACAGTTTAAATTTCTCAGGACAATTTTTTTCTTTCTTTGTTTTTGTTAATAAAGCCTCATTACCATCTTTCACTGATGCTCAGTGCTACAAATAATCTAACATGTTTACAATTAACTTCTTACAAAATCCTTTTTAAGAACAATTAGGAATGCTTTACCCATAATTAAAAACATTATTTTCAAAGTGCCAATTCTATTAAAGGAGCTTCCAAAAATGAATAGAATAATAGCATTTACCATGTACTGGGAATTATGCTCAGTTTTACATGCGTATTAATAAACCATTTAGTCTCCAGTGCTCAAAAAGATCTGGTAAGGTAGATATTGTACATGAGGAAACTCAGGTATGGAGAGGTGAAGTAACTTGCTCATGGTTACAAATAAATGGTGGCACTAGGATTCAAGTCCAGGTATTTTGGCTCTAGCGTATCAGAGTATCAACATGCAGACAAGATACTTTTTCTGTAAGATGTACTTCATTGAACAAAACCTAACAGAAATGGAATGATGTAAAAATGGCAGAGGAGGAACTTCCATGCAAGTATTTCTCATGTATCACTCACATGTTCAATATAAAGCAGCTCAAGTTTTTAAAACTATTTGTACTTTAATTCTATTTTTCCTTATATCCAATCAGTAATATTTTCCCTTTAAATAGTAATATTTTTTAATAAGGGCTTACTAAAGTAAACATGAAAATTTTCTAATTTTCTTTTCAGAGCATTACCTGAAGTCAGCTCTTGGCAATAACTTAAAAAGCAACAAAGCATTTTAAAAATAGTTACCTTTCTTATCAGACGTCTATTAAACTTCTAAAGGAACACTTAAACATTCCTTTCTGTTCCTAATGGCTTCTACATTAGCTTCAAATAAAATAACTTTGAGCTTATCCTTTAGACCCCGAAGACTGCTGAGTGGCTGAATGTTCACCACCCATATATGTCCTAGGCACTGAAGACTAACTTAGGAGTTGTTCGCCTCTAAAGGACATAGATCAGCGAGATTTGCTTCTCTGAACTCTTTTTAGGTTAGTAGCTACTCAAAAATCGGAACCCTTCTTAGGGTTTTATAGGGTTTATTTTATATCTATCATTTTAGGATGTTTCTCATAGACTGTGGCACGAAGTATACAAGTTAATTGCCTGTACAAGCACTTCAACAGTGCTCCCAGATAAGCCAATACCACTTCTAAAGGGGATGTTTGGAAACGTGAGCTTTCTTTTGGGTGGCACAACGATCGGTGGCACCCCTGGCATTTGGTGGGTGGGGGCCAGGACAGTTCAAAGTCTTACAACATGTGGAACAATCTCATGTGAAGAAACATAGCTCAGCATCCTGTGACTTCCCAATGCCCATTCATGTAGTAGAAAAATCAGTTTATGATGATCTGAACCTAGAAACTAATGTTTTCATATAGCATAAAGTGCTGTTTTGCATAGTTTTAAGTAAAATTCATTGTTTCCAAACACGCAACATGTAAATCAAGACTGTATATTTGTTCAGAACTTTACTATTTACGATCCACCAATTTAGGGGGAAAAGTCTTATCAATAGAAATGTGTGTGTTTCTGAATCACAACAGTCTACATGGAGTTATTATCACTTACACACATAGTCTTCAGATGTAATTATACCCAAGCATTTACATACTGAAATATAAAGGATTATAAATTACTTTCCTATTTCTATTCTATGTACAATTAAGTTATTATATACATTTTTAATGTCACTTCAGGATAGTAAAGGGGGCATTTTTTATAAAAAGGAAGTAATGGGTTTGATAGGGTCAATTTACTGACTCAGATGCCAGCCGTAATACAAGGCAACTTGCATAGATGGGAAATTAAATAGTTAAAGATGACAAATGCTCCCAATACACTAGTAAAATAAAATTCAACACTGTTTAGCCACAAGGACAGAAACCTGTTCAGTGCTGAGCTTCTGCATCGGGTCTCCTAATTAGATGTGACAGCTTGTTCTTTTGGCTGCAACTTTCCGATGGCTTTGCAGATGAGCTGATCCCATTCCCGGGCGGGCAGGGTCAGTGCTGCTCTGTCCCGTCCCTCCTCCTTTCCTATCCTCAGAGGATGATGTGTAATAGAAAGAAAGCTTTGTTAGGTGGCAGACAGGCAGTTTTGCTGTGGAAAATCAATTTATTACCACCATCCTCATTTCCTTCATTTACATACTATCATACTAAAATAACTCAACATTTTTAGTATTTCTCTTTACTTTAAAGTCAAATATTTGGTTCACTTTTTATTTTTAAATATATTTTATTGATTTTTTTACAGGGAGGAAGAGAGAGAGAGAGAGAGAGTTAGAAACATCGATGAGAGAGAAACATCAATCAGCTGCCTCCTACACACTTCCCACTGGAGATGTGCCCGCAACCAAGGTACATGCCCTTGACCGGAATCGACCCTGGGACCCTTCTTCAGTCTGCAGGCCGACACCTTATCCACTGAGCCAAACCAGTTAGGGCTGGCTCACTTTTTATAGATACAACTTTTTAAAAAGGTCCAAAAGCTGCTAAAATAGTTCATTGCCCATGACAAACACATTCAAATAGTCAAAACATATTTATACTAGAGGCCTGGTGCATGAATTCATGCACAGGTGGGGTCCCTTGGCCTGGCCAGCGATCAGGGCTGTCTCATCCAGTCCCAATTGGGGTGATGGGGGCTGGCTGGCACGGGAGGGACCATGGGAGGTTGGCCAGATGGCCGGGGAGGGACCATAAAAGGGCTCCAAGGTGTGTCTGGCCCTCTCACCCAGTCCCGATCGGCCAAACCCCAGCAGCAAGCTAACCTACTGGTTGGAGCGTCTGCCCCCTTGTGGTCAGTGTGCGTCACAGCGACTGGTTGAACGGTTGACTGAATGGTCAACTGATCGGTTGGACACTTAGCATATTACACTTATTATGTAGGATATTGTGATTTTTTTCAGTGGACACGTGAAAAAATATATAAGCAAAAATTTCCAGAGAAATCTGATTAGTAATAGCCAATGTGAATGCATACAGAATTTTAAGTTTTATTATATTAGACACCCAGTACACGGATTCCTGCACCAGTGGGGTCCCTCAGCCTGGCCTGTGCCCTCTCGCAATCCGGGACCCCTTGGGGGATGTCAGACTGCCAGTTTTGGCCCAATCCCTGCAGACCAAGATCACGGGGCTCAGGCTGAAGGCCAGGGAGGAGCTGGAGCCCAGGTACCACACTGCTTCTGCTCATCTCAGCCCTGCTGTGCCTGCTACTGCTGCCGCTTGGTAGTGTTGCTGCGGAGGCAGGAGAGGCTTGCACCTGTCTGTCAGTGAGCAACGCTCCAGCTGTGGGAGCACACTGACCACCAGGGGGCAGCTCCTAGGTTGAGGAGCTGGTGGTCAGTGGACGTCATAGCAACCCATCAACCAGTCATTCGGTAGCTTGGGCTTTTATATATAGAGATTTTCATATTTTATGTATGCATATTACTTAGATGTAAAGATTCATAAATTGTTATAAATTAACCTTCACTAAATGTGAATGAGTGGGATAAGATTTTCTTACACTTTTATGTTTCTAGGTAATAAACTTAAAACTTTCTCATTACCAACTAGAAGCCCAATGCATGAATTCATGCACAGGTGGGGTCCCTTGGACTGGCCAGCGAGGCCTATCAGGCTGGCTGACTGGCAGGAGGAAGGGACTGCGGGAGGTTGGCTGTGGGAGAGCAATGACCACCAGGGGGCAGCTCCTGCATTGAGTGGGTCATAGCGACTGGTTGACTGGTCTTTACAGTTGTAACAGCCGCTTAGGCTTTTATTTATATAAATTTTTTTTCTAATGAAATAAAAGCATTCACTTGACAAATCAGTTTATTAATATCAAGTTTAAGGTTGTGCATAAAATTGCAATAATGACAATTTAAATGAAGTAAACAGAATAAACTGTTTATTAAAACACTGTGTAATAAAATAAACTTTTTTTGATCCGATTCTATAGTGGTAAACATTTCCCCCTTATTAACAGAACACCTGAAACACAGTTAAATTATACCATAATCTGCTTAAAACTTGAAAATACCCCTGTTCTTTCCCACTGAATGACTGAACAGTGAGGTGTGCAGATCTAGGGTTTTTTGATGAGTCAATGATAGAGAATGATAACCTAAAAGACAAGCAAAATCCCATATGCCCAAAGATGAAATCTTATTTACCCTGCTCTCTGGCCCAAACTTAAAATTGTCCTATCAAATAAATATTTAATGAATCACCCCCTTTCCTGTCTAAAATAAGTATCAAGAACAAATTAAGGATAAGAGTTGGGTTTTAAACTGCATTTTATTTGTTATTATAACATTGTCTTTTTTTTTTAACTGATCAACCTTAAAGCATGCAAAAGTTCTCTTCCAACGACTTCCACAGCCCCTTACATATCAATAAGTAAATTATAAAGGTCATTCAATTTGTAGTTCTCTCCTCCTTTATAGCACTTCTGAGCAGTGTGACACATATCACAGAGATAGGAAAGACCATCTTTAATAAATTATCTTCTTAATTGTAGAGAATTTCTGAAAATGAAACTGACAAAATGCTAACCCAATGCCTTGGATGAGTCCTCAAGGACCAAAGATCCATCTCCTCCTATTGGAAGACTTAGTCCTCCGGAGTGTCCTGGTCGTTGTAGGGCACTTGATAAGGCGATCCACCAGGGCTCTGGACAACTGCACTAAGAAGCCCTTTCACCACTCTCATTTGCCGATTCTTTGGACCACCCAGTCTTGCTGGCAGAGAGGGCAGCGATTGTTCTGTTTCACCCACAGGGACATGCAGCAGTTGTGGAAGGAATGATTACATTCTCCCCAGACCACTAAAAGGGGGGGAAAAAAAGATTATTTGACATTAGACATTTCAATTTAAATGACTGAGCTCAAATATATAGCTTATTTTATATTATGAATAATAATCATGGTTCATAATCTCAAATAAAGATGATAAATTGGTCAAAATATTTTTTTCTACCTGTAAAGAAACAGAAACTTACATGTGTAAGGTTTGTGCTTAGGGGACGTTCCACCACAGTTCTAGAATCTGTGAATGATGTGGTGGCCCTGGTTCCTATACAGCTCCATATGCTGTCTTCCGGAAGTTAGGAGATTAAAGGACTTGAGTCTTCCTTAGATCGCAGACCTGAGTTCTCAGTCATGCACTGACTTTGGAGATGTTTTGGCTTTATTTTATTAAAAAATATCCTCCTGATTTTTATTTATTAAGATATAAGTTTTAAGTGTTTTCAAGTTCATAAGTAGGTATTATGAATAGATGACATGCTTCTAAATATTATCAGCTGTACATCTGCTGAGTTGTTTCCTAGAAGTGCTGATAAATTGTGTTGTCATCAATAAGCAGTGCAATTCCTCACGTGACAAACAATGAAATTTTCCAAGTGGCTGTCTGGAAAGAGGTCGCTTTTTGATCAAAGAAAGATGGTCTATACCCCACAATTACCAAATTAATGTGTTTTTTAACCCCTTCCCCAACAATTTTTTTGTTAAAAACGTTTCTTTTTCAGACTAATTTTTTTATTTTGGTTCTATATAGTATTTTTGATGCTGGTTATGAAAACAGTTTGTAACTCGTCTTCCTATAAACCATATTTTTTTTACCATATTTTCTTAGTATACTCGTCGACGACTGAAAAAGAACATTTTGTGAAAACGAGTATACACGTTTCTGCCGGGGAAGGGGTTAAAACAGCATGAAAGAAAAATTTTAAACTAAGGGAAATCACCCACAATCTGGACTACAATCTGAAATGTGAGCTTCATCTGTCCCTTGCTTGACCATCTGAGCTATATGATAACAGAACAATTAAGACATAGGAATAAAAAAGAAAAAAACTTCTTATGAAAATAGGCTGTAGAAGGTAGAAAGCAAGAATCATTCTAGTGTTTCAGAAGAAAAAAACAGGATTTGATTAAAATGGCATAGATCACTAATAAAAAGCTGTATATAAGCCCTGGCCAGGGGCTCAGTTGATGGGAGCATCGTCCTGTATACCAAAAGGTTTTGGGTTCGATTCCTAGTCAGGGCACATACCTAGGTTTCAGGTATGGGAGGTAACCATAATTCTTTCTTTCATTGATGTTTCACTTTCTCTCTCTCCGTCCCTCTCTTCCTTCTCCTCTCTCTCCCCCTCCCTCCCTCTATAAAAAAAAATCAATAAAAACATATTCTGTAAACCACACCAGCACAAAGTACAAAGATAACTTTTCATTCTAGGAAAAACATTTAAACACGTAGATAAAGCAATCTAGAAGTGATGATTTCAAGAACTGGGATATACATACCTTTGAACTGCTTAAAACATTTAGCCAAGACAACTTTTGTAGTCCAAGACTATAAGGAAAATTTAATATATACATATAGATATATAGCTATATATATCTATACACACACACACTATATTTCAAAAAAAGACTTACAATTTTTCTATCTCAATTAAATGTTAAACACTCTATCATAAGAGTACTGAAAACTGAAATGCTTTAGTAGAATGAAACTCTACCAAAACTGACCTATAACATACTCAAAATTTTAATGATGCTTTGGCAAATTCCTTCTTATATAATTTTCTTAATAGAAGAGGATTATTCATTTTTTTGATTATCAAAGTATTTACTATGCCCATGTCTGGAATACTTATATAACCAATTCTTCCTAATTACAGACAATAAAAAACAAACAAACTTGCAGATGAATTCTATTAAGGCCTCTGAGAATCAACACATTTTATATTAATAATGGATTACTGCTTTACAGCTTATTTTTGTGTATTGGTAAAGTCAATCTTAATAGCAAATTCAAACATCCCCACTGAGAGAAAACGTTCAGTTGAAAAAGCATTAGAATGAAATGACAACATACCAACACAATCCTCTTGTTTGTTTTCAGCTTGACATCTAAGACAGGCATCTAAAAGTAAACAAACAGCAATTCTCATTCGGATGCTCAGAATGCAATTTTTAAAACCCAGACACTTCAAAGTCAAAAAACACCCAAAGGGTTAGAGATGGAGATAAAAGGCTCATTCTATTAATTTCTCATTTGAACATAACTGTTTGAACAGGAATAAAGTACAAGGCACTCTACTAATCTACTTCTGACCAGGAGCAATTTTACCAGGGTTACTGACCCTCTATTTTTACAAGCTCTGATGAAAAGATGTCCTGCCAGTGGATGCAACCACTAGAGAATACCTCACTCTATTAGAAGTTGTTATAAGCTCACTGGGCATGCTCATATAGCTCAACCTTAGGGGTAGTTTATTTTCCAGACACCCTTTTAAATAAGCTGTGCCCATGGGGATATAAACTACAGATAGTGAATGGTCAATACTATCATAACTATGTATGTTGCCAAGTGGGTACTGGAAATACTGGGGTGAACACTTTGTAAAGTATATTATTATCTAACCACTATGCTGCTGTACAAAATATAATACTGAATGTAAACTATACTTGAATAAATAAAATTTAAAAAATGAGCCATGCATATATATTGGTATTTGCTTATACATACATAAAGAAACTTTAGAAGGATACCCAAGAGACTAATAATAGAGTTTACCTGGAGGGGACTGAGTGGGAAGGAGTTTTCATTGTATACTGTCTTAAAATTTTGAATTGTGTGATTGTATAATCTATATAAATATTAAATTAAAATTAATTACAAATACTTTCTAAAAACTAGGAGTTTTTTTTCTTCTAAGAAAATGCTTCCTTTACAAACTAAGTCTGAGCCCATTTAACCAACAATGGCAAAATATTTTAATAAATTACTTGGGAGTTAATACTAGGAATGGGAACCTAAAGTATACTAGGTTGCTTGATGAAGAAGGTAATACAGAACATATATGCTTGGTGAAGGAGGTAAAATAGATTATTTTAGGGACAAACTAAATGGATTCATTCACTAACTGGAAGAAGAGTCAAAGTTGGGTAACGGAAGTTCAAACCAACAGAAAAAAAAGTTTTAACTGGAGAAAAATAATTCAGTAAAAATAGACACACGGTGGAGCTGAAGCCTGTTCTTCTTACACTGGGTTATGCACAGGCTCTTGTTTGCTTCTCTCTGCATGTTTTTACCCTAAAAAAACACACCACCCTGGCCTCTGCAGTGCGGACTAAAAACAACATTGCCTCCTAAGACTTTCTTCAACTCCATAATTACTAAGAATTTGCTCTGTGAAAGGAGTTATACACACAGGGGACACCAAAATGATGAAGCCTGGATTCCTGGTCTTCACAGCAAATAGGGAGACAGACAGGCAACCGACTGAGTATCTTAAGGATCCCAATGTAACCGTGAAGACGAGGCTCTGGTTCTGTGCAATCACAGAATTAGAATTTGTGATCCCACTGCCTCTTTCACAAACAAGGAAAAGAAGGCCCCAAAGGGTTGTGTCAAATGTCCAAGCTAACATACAGCCGTGAAGGGTTACTCTGGCTCTTTATAACTTGGCAGCACAAGCAAAAGCCTTCCTCTCTGCCTCAGCAGCCCTTGCTCCTTTCAGAATGAAGGCAGGAGAGTGGAAACCAAGAGTGTTAACCACATCGGAATAGGTTGACAGGCAAAGCTTGGATCAAGAAGTCACAATAAATCAGTTGTGTATGAGATGAATTCCAAATATTAAGGAAATAGGGTTAAGTGGGCTCTTTCCGTAGGATCTAGAAATCTCTGAATTACGCTTATAGCTTTGATTTAGACGATCAAACACTGACCTAAGTAGATAAAAATTCCCACAGTTTCAGATTAAAAAGAAGTTTCTTTTGATGACGTTCCTAATATCTGAAACAGCACATTTCTAAGCAGTACAATAACACTAACACCTTTTAGAATGATGAGGGTGAGGGCTGGGAAGTCTGAAAAACAAACTTCCTCCTGCTGTCAGCTGACCTCCAAGTGGATTTTAACACCTCTAAACAAAATACACAGGTCCAGCCCAGAACACCTTCCAGAGCTCAAAGTATAGCTGCTGTAATCTGCCACGTTAACCCACAGGAGCAGAACTGGCTATCATTAGAAAGTCAAATGTGCTGTTTCAGATATTAGGAACGTCATCAAGAGAAACTTTTTTTAATCTGAAACTGTGGGAATTTTTATCTACTTAGGTCAGTGTTTGATCGTCTCAATCAAAGCTATAAGCGTAATTCAGAGATTTACTTACAGACCATACTCTGACTTACTTTCAGTGTCCCAAGTACAGTTTATTTGTTGCAAGATAGCAACCAGTCCTTTAATTCCATATTTCTGCTTCCTAGTTTAAATTTTTTTTTCCTTTGGGGAGAAGAATAAAATGCCTTTTTAGGAACATTCTTCTTTTTAAACTAAAGGAAATTTAGGTGACACAATGTTCAGCAAAGCGCGCCTTGCTAAAGAACAAAAAGTGAAGTCACCTACGTAAGTTAAAAATGCCAAAGTGGAAAACATGATTCCAGTTGTGAATTAAGGCGTAAATTATGTGGAAAGGGGACTGTGCTGCAGGCCAATCAACTCGGTACTTTTTAAACCTAAATATGCAACATAAGTGGATCACGTCTGAAATCAAGCTCTTTCGAAAAGTAAAACATGAACAATATCTGGATCCCACTGCTGTAGGGCCTTCGGCATAAAAGACTAGCGGGCACGCTAAGGAGGGTAAACTGAGGAACCTCTGGCTTCTGCTGGATTACAAGTCTTCCTCCGGCAAGAAGGGAGCGCCATTCTCCTTTAAGTTATTTTCTCCAGTTTTCTCATTTTTCCGGACAAGACACAAAGTTTTAAAACGACAGAAACCTCGGGTTTCTTCGCCTACCCTCAGGAAAGGACAGGTGAGCAGCTCGCGGGGCATCTTAAGTGTCAATGCCCTCTTGAAACCTGCAACTGGCGGCTCGGCAGCAGCACCGGGTTTCCAAGGTGGCCCGAGCGCTCACAACAGAAACCAGACGCGGCGACACCGGGCGAGGCGGTCACGCGAGGGCTCGCTCGGCCCCCGTGTTTACTCCCGGAACCACGGGAGGGGGGAGCACCTCTGGGTGGACGCGGGCGCTCCGTCCGCAGAGGCCTGCCTCCGAGCAGGCGGGCTCTCCCAGGGGATGGCACCCTGCGACAGGCAGGGCCCGCGGGGAGGTGAAGGTCCGTGTGTCTGAGTTAGGGGCTTCGCGTTACTTCATTCCCACCAAACGGGAACCTTCTGGCACCGCCCTGCGCTCCCGGGGGCCGAGTGCGCGTGGGGCCGGTCCGAGCAGCCCGACTCCCAGGCCGGGCCTGCGGCGGCGGCCCCCCCCACCC